AATATTATTGCGTCTCTCAAACTTTCTAACAATTATTGGATCTTAAGCATCCACTAACATAGTGGCTTTCGCCTAAGTACACATGGCACTTGGGAAGATCGTTGAGCGTTAATAACAAGCACTTATATAATTAGCAGGATGCAATTAAACAATTAAAGTGACATTTACTTTAATGATGTCAATGACTGAGCTTTATTCGAACAAAGTTAATTGAAAACTACCCTTTTTTTACTTTCGCTGCAAATGTCATTGATTGTTTGAACTTATTAATGTTTAGTAATTATAATAATGTGGGCTGCATGAAATTTACGAGCAAGTGCCTACCTTTAGTGGCGCAATCTCATTGCGAGTGTATCGCAATCGAATCGAGAGCAACGAGGTTGAGTGCTTTCTTGATTGAATCGTGCATACATGTAGAAAATACATGTAACATTACATAACTTGTTAATATCTTGAAATAACTATTGCAGAAATACTCTATCTTTCTTTGATTTAATGAATCTTTGGTAAAATTTAAAGCTTAAAACAAAAAGATATACATAAATTTTGTATTACAATTTTTTAAAATCGATATATTATAATTTGGGAAAAAATTATATTATAATCATTTCTCAAATAATTTGAATTGATTTAAATCTGAAATTTTAAGTTTTATCGTGAGAAGAAATATTAAATATTAAATTAAATATATTTTTTTGCGATGAATTATTTCTTTTTGATGTATTCTTTTTAAAGCAACTTCTTTATTGAAATTTTTTGCAACGTAAGAAAAGAATTTCTGACAAAAAGAATTACATTTGACGGCTAATTACGATGACAGCCATTCTTCGAGAATGCAACTACTCGAAATTCGTTAACGCGACAAGATAATGATCTTATGACATTAACGAGCGATTTGCCCTTCCTCGTCACGCCCCCGGTGCCATCGCATTGGAAAAGAGGGTGGACGTGTCTGACGAACAGGGGTTGACAGTTTTGTAACGTCAGGAGGGATTTAATAGTCCAGTCAAGAGGCGCTAACCCCTCTTTCAACCAACGTGTCGAGAATGCAAGATGGGAAAGCGGACGGGGACGTGCAGGCGAGAAGTAAAGTAAAACTTTCATGTTACGTTTTCCCATTCGCGACAGTTCGCGCGTTGTTTTATACCTGTGAAGTGCGCTGGTATCGACGTTTTATGATCGGCAATAATACAATCGTAGCGGCGGCCTGTGGCGATGACGATGCCTCGTTTTCTAAAGCAACACTATAAAAGCGAATTACTTTGTAACTGCAATATTACTTTACAACAATAGTCTTTGAAAGTAGAAACGTGAATTCAATGAATTTGTATTTAATGCAACAAACTGAACTAAATTTTGAGTTGTGTACTAAAATATTTCTTGTATTTGGTACAGAAACTGAATTCGGTACTCACGTTCTCATTAATAATATATAGATTCATAAATTTATTTTTAAATTATTTTTTAACTTTCTTACATTTTAATCATAATGTTGTACAACGTTTTTCTTAAACAAGCCATATACTTTCTTTTTTGTAAACATGCAATTTTCGCATAAAAGAAGAATAATAATTAAAATATTTTATTTAAATGTGTAACATTTACTTTAACTCACAGGCATTAATGTAACATAAGACTATGGGCGACTTTTTATTTTGATTGACGATCTGTCAATACTGTTTTGCAAAAACCGTCTTGAAATAATTTGACATAATCGACTATCGGAAGCTGATGAGATTCGTTTTATTAAAATGCATTTTATCATGTAACTGAAAAATATGCGACGCGTATAAACTCAGTAAATAGGCATTCGTTTAATAAATGAGAAAAAATATAGAATTATACAAGATTCACTGAATGAGTGAATAGTACATGATATATGCGTCACATGGCGTCATATAATTCATACAGCGACGTTGATATTCCATTGCACATTTTTATCGCTCCGTTTTTTATTCCTCTACCATGCATCATCCTGTGATCGTAGTGTCCGATGGCTCGAATAACGACTGCAACAAAAATATAATAAATATTGCATTTGATATTTCCATAAGTGATGGTGAAGAGTTCGTTAGTTACTTTTTATATATATCTATAAAATATTTTGAAAGTAGTTTTAATCGTGTATTTAGATGATTTGCATATTTAAAGCACTTGTATAATATTTAAGATTTTTGCAAAATATATATTTTTTATAAGAACGTTAATATTTTACCTTAAAATGTATTTTATTTCTACTTTATTTTTTAATTAAGTAAGTCTATTTAATAAAAACTAATGAAAATTAAATTTTAAGTATTTAATTTTGAAGATAATAATAATGTTTTTATTACACGAAAATCTTTTAAAAATTAAACTAATTGAGCATTAGAATTTAATGCGGTAAAATTGTAGGTGTATGCAAAAGTGAATATAAATTTGCTCAGTATCTCGTAACGCTTTAAAACATTTCCGATACCCGTAACTTTTGAAGTTGGTATTTTGGAGATATACGGCCAAGTTCAGTACAGCTCCATTGGACAAGTTCGCGCAACCGCTTCCTTCGTATTTGCATTCATTTGCACATGGAATAGAGAATAGAAGCAGCTTAATGTCACAGTCCGACCGGATCGACGTCGTTTACTGTTGTATTTCCGACCAGAATAAAATCCCAATAAAGTGCCAATGAAGAGAAATGGTGTGCACATAAATTTTTACGGGTACTTCACCATGGTAAGTTACATTCTGAAGTTAACAACAGATTGATATAAATGCATTTTTTTTATATATATTTGTTATTTACAACATTTTTATCTAAGATATCTTTTTTTAGAATTGGATAATTATTTAATATAGAACCGGCCTCAATAATTTTGTTTTTGACATATGTTGTCAAGGTCTTGACTCCGAATGATCATCAGAAGGTTTTAGTCGTTGTTTATTAAAAAAATTATAAACATTCAAAGTTAATAACTAATATAACTTTTAGAAAGTTAAATATTTTCTCTGATATTTTAAACAATAACACTTTATATATTTTCGCGTGGAACGTTACGAACCCTTGTAGAACCTCGCTTTGTATTGTATTTGCGTGAATAGAGTGGGTTCTTCTCTCCCCCTTCTCCCTCCCCTACCTTATAGAAAGCTCTACTACCAACAAACTAGATATTTATGTTGAACCTCACTTTGTGTGGAAAATTGAAAACCCATACAAAGTGAGGGATTCAACCCAAATCTATGTGTCTAATTTCTTGGTAGTAGAGCCTCCCGTAGGGGAAGCGAAGTCTACTACATTCATATATACACTTTATAATGCGAAGCGAGGTTCCTTATGGATTTGTTACAACTTTCCATGCAAAATAAGTATCGTTTTACTTTCCTTCCTCGCTTGTAGGGGGAACGAAGTTTAGAATTGTAGGTACTGTTCTACATGGGTTTTCGATTTGCCATGCGAAACAGTTTATAATTTATAACTAAAATTTGATTTGGGTTAAATTATATTTTTTTCGTGATGGAAGTGAAATAAGAGGGACGAAGCCCTTCTCTTCCGCCTAAGTATGTAAATATGCAAATGTTGAGGTATTTATACTAGATAAAGTTAAGATTTTAAAGTTAAACACATATTATATTGTCAATTTTATTTGTTTATAACTTTTTAACACACGAATAACTATAAGTAACGAAAAAATTTTATGACTTAAAGTCACTTAGAGTCACGATCTTGACTACATATTTGAATATTAAGTCATTGAGGTTGGTTTCTATAATATATTAAATAATTATCTATGCTTGTTATTATTAATATTGTTTTATTATTACACCGTATTTTATTCTGTTTACGATTCTGTTAACTTTAACTACTTATTTCTATCTTTTTTAGTTTTTATTTGCTTTTTACATTATATCGAGTAACATTTATTTATTCAAAAATGATGATATTAAAGTATTTCGCATGCAGAAATTGCCTAGCATTTCTCAAATTGACATCATATTATTTTAAGAATACTTTTTCATTTAACACTCTTTTATATTGTACGAGATATATGTACAATGAGATATTTTATTATTGTTTAATTATTGTATCGACTTGGCGTGAGTATTTTTCTTACGCTTTGTTTATATCGCAATTATTTTTAATAAATTGGTTGTAATGCCTACATTTTTACAATAGTTGGATAGTTTAGAATTGTGAGAATTCCATAATGCATCTGACGCACCGTATTTATTATGCAGTTAGCCTTACTATTTTAGTCGAGAGACACTGTAGGTGAGTCACTCGAAACGCGAGAAACGCGTAACACCACCACATTGAGGAGTCTTCGTTTTGTCCTCGTCTACTCCCTTCCGCTCTTTCACAGGGAATATGTTTAGACTTTAGAATCTGTGAGATATATATCTCTCTCCTCCTTACTTTCAAACAGCGTTGCACTGAGTAGCCAAGTGTCAAATTACCATCTTAGCGTAAACATGAAACACATCCAGATCTTTTAAGCTACAACACCTATTTTTTTAGTACTTTTACTGAAGCTATATATACTTGTATACTTTTCTTCCAAAGTTAATCTGTACACAAAAATCTAATGAGAGTACATAATTTCTGAGGATATATTTCAAATACATATTGTAAAAACGATACGCATGTCAAATTTTTAATTTTATTAATTTATGCCTGCTGTTTTAATACACTTTAAAAAGATATTAGAAAAGCATAGCTGATTCAATTTTCGAGAAAACCAAATCGAATTTTGTCAATTGATCAGAGAATGTATAAATAAAATGAGTGATAATAGTTTTCTTTATTATAAAACGTGATAAGAGAGATACTGTTTTTCTTCGGTTTTTTACTTGCAAATGGAATAATTATATTTTTGAAATACTTGGAAATCCTATTGCTGCACATCAATTGCACGATGCATTTCGTATAAAAATCAGGCTGCATAAAACTAGTCTCTTCACCTTCACTATTCTGTGAGAGTCGGCAGCACTTTATTCTGCCGACCACTTCCTTTTTCTTTCGACAGACCTCGTAAACATGGTGCAACCAACACCAGAACTGAAGAAAATAGAAATTCCCCCGATTTCATCGTTTCGATGTTGTTCGACAGAAAGGCGTTTACTCGTGCGGCCATCTCGAATGGAACTTCTTGCAAGTGTACAAGCGTGAATCGCGTTTGCGGTTCGTGTGCAAGCTGACAAAAGCGAACTACAGAACTGATATCAAACCGATTGCAACACACGTACGTCATTTTGCGGATATTGGTATTTAGACATTAAAGATATTTTGGGATATTTAAGGCGCAAATGAAAGTGTATTTTTCGCGGAAGCAATATTTTTTGACGTATCTCAAACAGCATTTCTATTACTGGAATTTATAAACACTGGTCTTTATTGAAGTATAAAATAATATCAATCATTTCAAAGAAAAATTCACACTTTTATATATTGGTAGCTAAATATAACGAATTGAGAAGAATTTTATTTAAAGAAATTATGTAATCTTCTTATTGAATATATTACATTACTCATAATGAAGATACGATAATAAAATATAAATAAATCATACATGAAAAACGAAACATTTACACATAAACTTTCAATAATTTATATATTTTTTAAAATAAATATAATACCTAAATTTTTATTAATTGAATAGTGATTCTTGGTATATTCAATACGCGCTGATTTTACATTCAATTGCATAATGCTGCAAATGTACAAAACGTATATTTCCCTTTTTGCTCACACGAAGTATGGAGAGATGTTTACGCGACGTTATTATTTTTCTATGGATTTACATTTAGTGAGTGCGCGAGATTTTCAGCGGAGAGAGAAACCCTGCATGTCGACCAAGCGAGAGGCCGAAATTTGTATTTTCGAAACGTCATGCGATGCCGCTGTAAAATTTGAAATATAAACGCTTCACGGCATTCGCACAATCGCCCTCGAACGAACCAGACAGTTCGCTCTGTCCTTTTTTATTTCAATGCGTTTTTATCGTTCGTGGAATGGTACCTGCGTCGTTTCCATCAAAATTTTCTCTCTCGCTTTCTCTCTCTCTCTCTCTCTCTCTCTCTCTTTCCTCTTCCTATCTCTTTCTCACTTATTTGCACACCGATCCAAAATGGGTCGAGAGAACGCAACCGTTGCTATTATAACGCTGCTACCTTCGTCCCAATCACTCGTAGTTGAAGTCTGGCCAAGTTTCAATATATTACGCAGTGTCTCAATGAGCTGAAGCTAGTCGGTATGAATTGCCAAGAGGGCGGCAATTGCGTACCGACTTAATTAAGAATTCATAGTATTCTCTCTTTCGAAACAAATTAAATCACTTTCATCTGCGATTCACATCTCAATTATACTATTTTTGTGTGCCGGATATCCGTAATAGTTTAAAAATTTGATAATATAATTTTTATTTTTTCAAAAGGGTGATTTTATGATATAACGAATTATATGCGTAATGGTATTTCTTGCATCATATGATCATTAAATATTTGTTACAATTTTTTTTTATTTTAAAGCCAATTACTTTTTCAATATAGTGAAATACAGGAATTGGAAAAATGAATCTGCCGTTTTTGATGAATTTGACATATCAATTTCTAATTGTTTTCAAATTAATTAAAGTAAATTTTTATACGTAATTTAATCTAAAGTTTTTACAAAAAAATTCAGATACATATGGAACATATATAGATAACCTTCTAATAAGTTTTAGAAAATATTGCATTTTTTATCATATAACATACTTTTTAGTTAAGTAATACTTTGATCGATAGTATCGTAAAATGGACATTTCGTTCCTTAACTTTATTACAGCAAAGTAAGTAAAAGTTATTACGCGACGTAACTGAAAGTTTCTAAGGTTTGATAATGTTTGTAGCTACAGATAATGTTTGTTTACGAAGGAAAATATTATATTTCCTCTCAATTTACAACATCGGAGTGCAATAATGTTAGACGACACATAATGAAGTAGCTGTATATATTTCATAAATTAATTTTCTGTGTACTGCTTCTCTTTGCAGGAAATGAATAATTTAATGGAGCGACGACATTACGCTATCTTTGCGCTATAAACGAGCACTGAAATATATAGTTATTCTTTGTGATGCAGAGGAATAAAGATATAAAATTATATGCGTCTTCGTCTTCGAGATTTTACTCTAATTTTAAACCAATCGTTTTAACACGCAATGTTCTTCTACATTTTAATCTGTCATTCGCTGTAATTTTAAGATTACAATTTCTCGTAATCATATATGTTAGTTTGAATAGAAGCAAATAGATCTAATTATTTCAACTACTGGAACATCAAAATTCTATGTAACTGTCTATAAAAAATATCAATATCCTGTGTTAGAAAAGAATTTTATTATTACATAAAACATCATTAAATAATTTTATCTTTTCTCAAGAAAATTTTATTACAAATTATTTGCCGTTACTACAAAATGTTTTGATAATTATGTTTTCAATTAAACATTTATTTATTTGAAATTGATTGAAAATTAACATCTAATCTTCAAGATGTTTCCAATAAATTGTTTTCTTTTGTGATATAATACAATACAAGCAAATGATTAAATAAAACACAATTACAATAACTAACACACTACAATCAAAACACAATTATTCCAATACCGATTATCTTAATATTGAATCTCTCAATCGATATTCGAATATCTGAATATGTAAATAAAACACTTTTAATTTATATTAAAACAACGTGGTTATTATACTTTTATATATTTATATTATTTGTTTAAAGTATGCCCTGTTTTCATTTTTATTTAAATGTTTATTTAAAATTTTGTTATTTAAATTATGTTTATTTAAAATTTTTGCGGGTATGGTTGATAACAGATGTATGTTACTCTTTTTATCTGAATAATCGATGTGTTCGAATAATGTAATAATCCGAATTTGGCAATTCGATGAAAGTGATAAAATTTTGTAAGATAAAATATCGTCGCAACATTAATTGTATAATTATAATTATTGCTATACATGATTTTAATCTTATCTTTAATATTTATTTTCTACGTGTTATTATCCAGAATTATTATTGCGTTTCACAACGCAATAATTCCAAAAATAAATATTTAAATCGATGAAAACAAATTATAAGAAATTATAGCACTTGTTTAGGTAAATGTTTCATTTCGTTGCCTTCTGTGACAGCAACGTCTTTTTTCATTATCGTCGGAACAGCAAGGGGCGTTGAATTCGGCACGGTCGGCATTTAAGTCCCTGTCCCATAAAAACCCGGAGCAACTTGAAGCTCTTGTGGTTCCCTTATTGCTCGGATTTCTTCAAAATAAAGGAAGTATTTTCTTAGAGAGGGTGCCGGAAACATCGGCAAGAGGTGGAAGATGAGGAGGGCGCGGCGTGGTAACGTTACTTTACGAGATGTAATTCGTCGAGGGTGTGACATGTGACACGTAAGAGCTCAATCTTTTCGCTCTGTTCCCCGCAAAAATAAAAAGAAACTTATCCGTCTGTTTCTCCTTCGCTGCGCCTTTTTCTTCCGCTGGCATTTGATGTCCCTTCTAGAGAAGCCGAAACTCCTCGTTGGCAGCACTTTTCAAAACTGGAGAAAGAAACGCGGCGATTTGTTATTTGCGCAAGGAAACCTCTCCGTTTCCTGAGGAGAGACGAACAGCCACTAGAATAGCAGGTACTAAAGAGTTGCTTTATGAGAAGTAATTCATTGCAGACACGACACAACGAGGGCTTGATCTCTCCTCACGTCTTCCGAAAGTCAGAAAGTGAGAAGGCGATTTTTCTTCTTTTTTTCCAATCTCCTTCCCCTTTTCTTCCGTCTCGTTTAATAGTCGAGCTCGCTCTTCGCTCGTTTCATTTTGAGCTGTCTATTGACATAAGTTTCTTGAACTAAAGGCAGGTTTCTCGAACTATAACACTTAGAAGGATTGAATGCACCTGCTGAGAAGAAAAACACAGAGAGAACATTTCTTGTGTAGATAATTCCTTAAGAGGAATTATCTGCGTAAGCGCAAACTTTCTTCTAGATTGAGAATGTTGGGTAATTAGTAATACGACTAAGAAAATGCTGATTTCTTATTATAAATTAAGATTAAATTAAATTGAATTGAAACAAAGTTATTATTTCAAAAATATATTTATCTTTTATGTTAATTGCAATTTATCGCATATAATATATGAAATTAAATTTTTACTATGTACGACATAAAATTTAGATTCTACTTCAATAATAGCAGGTATGTAGCAATTGCGTTTATCTTTAATTTAATCACAATTAATTGTATTCTATTTTAAAACTGTGCTAATTAGCGATTTACTAATTATATCAGTAAGTCAATAATAAGGTTAATATGAATCATATCAGAAAAATGAATATTACAATTTCGACGTTTTGATTCACTTCTTCTCTATTTATCTATTTTTTGATGAAGTTAATGAAGTTATTTCTGTTTAGACATTGTGAGTAATCATTCAATTGATGTATATATGTAATAATACTACGAAACATCTAATAATACAATATATTTCTTTCTTCCATTTTTCATTTATTTAAATATATATGCTCTCTAAATCTGAATCAGTGGATAGTCATTAATTACCCAGTGGCATACTTAGCACTGATAATCAGTAAAATTCAACTAAAAAAGAAAGAATGTTTGAGCATTATATAACTAGAATACTGACATTTACACGTTAATTTTAATCTTCCAGTACCTATATTCATTGAATTTAAGCACTAAAACAAGGTTAATTAGATCACATAATAAAGATTAGCTAATTTAGAGATTTCATATTTAATTCACCGATTACCAGTAGCATACTTAGCACTGATATCGGTGATTATCCACTGATTCAGATTTAGAGAGTGTTAAATGAATAATAAATGCGAATAAATAATGCTTTTATATTATAGTAAGAGTAGATTGCTTTGAAATTTTGAACATTGATAGATTTATAAAAAGATTTATAAATTATGTATTTAATCAATTTTACAAGGCAAAATTGACTGTAATCTAATTAAAAAATAAGGCTTGAAAAAATGGAGAAATGTTACAGTACAACATTTTGTCTAGTCAGTAATTGATATACTCACTGTACAAATTTATCACGTAGATAAATGATTGTAATGTCTCGTACATTGGAACTTCAAAAACATGCATTTTTACGACAAATTAGTAAAAAACTTTTACTTTCAAAAACTCGCGTGCATCAACTTGCGTGTCTTTTGGGCGCCACGCTATTTCCATATAAATTATTTCAACTTTTTTCTCATGTCAGT